CACCCCAATAATCCCCTAAACACCCCCAAATAATCCCTTAATACACACACCGATAATGTCCTGAAGACCCCCAAATAATCCCTTAATACACACCCCAATAGTCCCCTAAAGACCCCCAAATAATCCCTTAATACACACACCGATAATGTCCTAATGACCCCCAAATATTCCCCTAATAGACACCCCGATATTCCCCTAGAGACCCCCAAATAATTCCTTAATACACACACTGAAAATCCCCTAAAGACCCCCCAATATTCCCCTAATACACACCCCAATAATGACCTAATGACCCCCAAATAATCCCTTAAAACACAACCAAATAATCCACTAATATACACACTGATAATGCCCCAAATCCCCCCAAATCCTCCCCAAATTCCCGACCAAATCCCCTCCAAACCCCCTAAACCCCCCTCAAAGCCCCCAAATCCCCCCCAAATCCCCTCAAACCCCCCAATTTCCCCCAAATCCGCCCCAAAACCCCCCTAAACCCCCCAATTTCCCCAGGGGAGGAGATGGGCGGGGCCAAGGCGGGAGGGGCGGGGCCAAGAGGGGAGTGGGAGGGGCCAAGAGGGGAGTGGGAGGGGCCAAGAGGGGAGTGGGAGGGGCCAAGGTGGGAGGGGCGGGACCAGTACGGCCCCAGTGACTCCCAGTATGGCCCAGTATGATCCCAGTGACTCCCAGTGACTCCCAGTATGGTACCAGCATGATCCCAGTGCCTCCCAGTATGGTCCCAGTATGATCCCAGTGACTCCCAGTATGGCCCAGTATGATCCCAGTGACTCCCAGTGCCTCCCAGTATGGCCCAGTATGATCCCAGTGACTCCCAGTATGGTCCCAGTATGATCCCAGTATGATCCCAGTGACTCCCAGTATGGTCCCAGTATGATCCCAGTGACTCCCAGTATGGTCCCAGTATGATCCCAGTATGATCCCAGTGACTCCCAGTATGGTCCCAGTATGATCCCAGTATGATCCCAGTGACTCCCAGTATGGTCCCAGTATGATCCCAGTATGATCCCAGTGACTCCCAGTATGGTCCCAGTATGATCCCAGTATGATCCCAGTGACTCCCAGTATGGTCCCAGTATGATCCCAGTATGGTACCAGTATGGTCCCAGTATGATCCCAGTGACTCCCAGTATGGTCCCAGTATGATCCCAGTATGATCCCAGTATGATCCCAGTGATTCCCAGTATGGCCCCAGTGATTCCCAGTATGATCCCAGTGATTCCCAGTATGGCCCCAGTGACTCCCAGTATGGCCCCAGTGATTCCCAGTATGGCCCCAGTAACTCCCAGTATGGCCCCAGTAACTCCCAGTATGGCCCCAGTGTCCCCCAGTATGATCCCAGTGTCCCCCAGTATGATCCCAGTGATTCCCAGTATGGCCCCAGTATTCCCCAGTATGATCCCAGTATGGCCCCAGTAACTCCCAGTGATTCCCAGTATGGCCCCAGTGATTCCCAGTATGGCCCCAGTAACTCCCAGTGATTCCCAGTATGGCCCCAGTGATTCCCAGTATGGCCCCAGTAACTCCCAGTGACTCCCAGTATGGCCCCCATGACTCCCAGTATCCCCCAGTATGGTCCCAGTCTGGCCCAGTCCGTCCCAGTAAGGCCCCAGCAATTCCCAGTACAGCCCCAGTAACTCCCAGTTACTCCCAGTATGGCCCCAGTAACTCCCAGTATGATCCCAGTGACTCCCAGTATGGCCCCAGTGATTCCCAGTATGGCCCCTGTGACTCCCAGTATGATCCCAGTAACTCCCAGTATGATCCCAGTATGGCCCCAGTAACTCCCAGTGACTCCCAGTATGGCCCCCGTGACTCCCAGTATCCCCCAGTATGGTCCCAGTCTGGCCCAGTCCATCCCAGTAAGGCCCCAGTGATTCCCAGTATGGTTCCAGTGACTCCCACCATGGCCCCAGTATCCCCCAGTATGGGCCAGTCCATCCCAGTATGAACCAGTATGATCCCAGTGTCCCCCAGTATGATCCCAGTGACTCCCAGTATGGCCCCCGTGACTCCCAGTCTGGCCCAGTCCATCCCAGTATGGCCCCAGTATGATCCCAGTGATTCCCAGTATGGCCCCAGTAACTCCCAGTATGGCCCCAGTGACTCCCAGTATGGCCCCAGTATCCCCCAGTATGGCCCCAGTAACTCCCAGTATGATCCCAGTGATTCCCAGTCTGGCCCAGTCCATCCCAGTATGGCCCCAGTTGATCCCAGTTTATCCCCGTCCCTCCCGCCCCTCCCCCCCCGCACCTGTCGCGGTCGCTGCCCCTCCCCCGCTAATTAATCACCCCGCTAATTAACCCCTGCGGCCCCTCAGCCCCTCATTAATCACTCTTCTAATTAATCATACCACTAATTAATCATCGCAGTGATTAATCATTACCCAAGCAATTATTAATTCACGGTAATTAATCATTCCGTGGTAATTGATTACTCCTCCCAGTAATTAATAATTCATTGGTAATTAATCACAGCCTCTGGTAATTAATCATTCCTCACAGAAATTAATCGTTCCCCGGTCATTAATCATTCCACCCGGTAATTAATCACCCCTGCTAATCATTCCTCGTGGTAATTAATCATTACCCCCTGTAATTAATGATTCCACGTGGTAATTAATCCTTCCCTCGGTAATTAATCATTCCTCAGTAATCAAACCCCGGTAATTAATCCTTCCCTCAGTAATTAATCATTCTTCACGGTAATTAAGCATTCCCCATGGTAATTAGTAATTCCTCTGGGTAATTAATCCTTCCCTCGGTAATTAATCACCCACCCGCGGTCATTAATCATTCCTCAGCGTAATTAGCCATTCCTGACGGTAATTAATCATTCCCCTCGGTAATTAATCAATCCCCGGTAATCAAACCCCGGTAATTAATCATCCCTGACGGTAATTAGCCATCCCTGACGGTAATTAATCATCCCCCGGTCATTAATCACACCTGTCGGTAATTAATCACCCACCCGCGGTAATTAATCACTCCTGACGGTAATTAATCACCCCCGGTCATTAATCACCCCTAATTAGCGCCGCCGCAGGGGCGGCCCCGAATTCCTCCCGGGTCAGAGCGGGGGCGAGGCAGAGCTCCCAGTATAAACCAGTATGGACCAGTATGGACCAGTATAAACCAGTGTAAACCAGTATAAACCAGTACAGACCAGTATGGACCAGTATAAACCAGTATGGACCAGTATAAACCACTATGGACCAGTATAAACAAGTATGGACCAGTATAAACCAGTATGAGCTATTAAAAACCAATACAGACCAGTATGGACCAGTACAGACCGGTACAGACCAGTATGGACCCGTATAAACCAGTACAGACCGGTATGGACCAGTTCAGTCCCTCCCAGTTTGTCCCAGTTCGTCCCAGTATGGCCCAGTATGGTCCCAGTATATCCCAGTATGGTCCCAGTATATCCCAGTATGGCTCCAGTATATCCCAGTATGGCCCAGTATGGTCCCAGTATGGCCCAGTAGGATCCCAGTATATCCCAGTATGGTCCCAGTATAACCCAGTATAACCCCAGTATGTTCCCTGTATATCCCAGTATGTTCACAGTACATCCCAGTATATCCCAGTATGGCCCAGTATGGTCCCAGTACATCCCAGTATATCCCAGTATGGCCCAGTATATCCCAGTATGTTCCCAGTATATCCCAGTATGGCCCCAGTATGGCCCCAGTATATCCCAGTATGGCCCCAGTATATCCCAGTATTGCCCAGTATGATCCCAGTATGTTCCCAGTATGACCCCAGTACATCCCAGTATGGCTCCAGTACATCCCAGTACATCCCAGTATGATCCCAGTATATCCCAGTATGGCCCCAGTACATCCCAGTATATCCCAGTATGTTCCCAGTATATCCCAGTGTATCCCAGTATGGTCCCCGTATGGCCCCAGTATGGCCCAGTACATCCCAGTATGGCCCAGTATGGTCCCTACACCCCAGGGACGCTCTCCCAGTCCCTCCCAGTCCCTCCCAGTGCTCCCGCACCCCCTCCTGTCCCCCCCCAGTGTCCCCCGTCCCTGTGTCCCCTCCGTGTCCCTCTGTCCCCCCTCTCTGTCCCCTCTCTGTCCCCCCTCTCTGTCCCCTCTCTGTCCCCTCTCTGTCCCCTCACTCTCCCCTCTCTGTCCCCTCTCTGTCCTCTCTCTGTCCCCCCTCTGTCCCCTCTCTCTGTCCCCTCTCTGTCCCCTCTCTGTCCCCTCTCTGTCCCCTCTCTGTCCCCTCTCTGTCCTCTCTCTGTCCCCCCTCTGTCCCCTCTCTCTGTCCCCTCTCTGTCCCCTCTCTGTCCTCTCTCTGTCCCCCCTCTGTCCCCTCTCTCTGTCCCCTCTCTCTCCCCTCTCTGTCCCCTCTCTGTCCCCTCTCTGTCCCCCCTCACTCTCCCCTCTCTGTCCTCTCTCTGTCCCCTCTCTGTCCCCTCTCTCTGTCCCCTCTCTCTCCCCTCTCTGTCCCCTCTCTGTCCCCTCACTGTCCCTCCCTGTCCCCTCTCTGTCCCCTCTCTGTCCCCTCTCTGTCCCCTCTCTGTCCCCTCTCTCTGTCCCCTCCCTGTCCCCTCTCTGTCCCCCCCGTGTCCCCTCCTGTCCCCGCACAGTCCGCGCGGGGCGGTGGCACCGCGGGCTCGGGAAAATCTGAGTCACAGCGCGGGGCCAGCGGGGGGGACAAGGGACAGGGACAGTGACAGGGACAGGGACAGTGACAGGGACAGGGACAGAGTGACAGAGGGACAGCCACCCTCAGGGACAGGGACAGGGACAGAGTGACAGAGGGACAGGGACAGGGACAGCGACAGCGACAGCGACAGTGACAGCCACCCTCAGGGACAGGGACAGGGACAGGGACAGGGACAGGGACAGGGACAGAGTGACAGAGGGACAGCCACCCTCAGCGACAGGGACAGTGACAACGACAGGGACAGTGAGAGTGAGAGTGACAGTGACAGGGACAGTGACAGTGAGAGTGACAGGGACAGTGACAGCCACCCTCAGGCACAGGGACACCTGGGGACAGCGGCGGCCGCAGCCACGGGTGAGACACGCGGGGACAGCTGGGGAGCCTTGGGGACCCTTGGGGCACCCTTGGGGACAGCTGCGACACCCTTGGGACACTCGGGGGGACCCTTGGGGACAGGTGGGGACCTTTGGGGACAGCTGGGGACCCTTGGGGACACTCGGGGACCCTTGGGGCACCCTTGGGGACAGCTGCGACACCCTGAGGACACTCGGGGGGACCCTTGGGGACAGCTGGGCCACCCCAGGGACAGCTGGGTCACCCCTCGGGGCACCCTTGGGGACAGCTGGGGACCCTTGGGGACAGCTGCGACACCCCGGGGACAGGTGGGGACCCTTGGGGCACCCTTGGGGACACCTACGACACCCCGGGGACAGCTGCGACACCCTTGGGACAGCTGTGACACCCTTGGGACACTCGGGGAGACCTTTGGGGACAGCTGGGGACCTTTGGGGACAGCTGCGACACCCTGAGGACACTCGGGGGGACCCTTGGGGACAGCTGGGCCACCCCAGGGGACAGCTGGGCCACCCCCGGGGCACCCTTGGGGACAGCCGGGGACCCTTGGGACACTCGGAGGGGCCCCTGGGGACAGGTGGGGACCCTTGGGGACAGCTGCGACACCCTGAGGACACTCGGGGGGACCCTTGGGGACAGCTGGGCCACCCCAGGGACAGCTGGGTCACCCCTCGGGGCACCCTTGGGGACAGCTGGGGACCCTTGGGGACAGCTGCGACACCCTTGGGGACACTCGGGGGGACCCTTGGGGACAGGTGGGGAGCCTTGGGGACAGGTGGGGACCTTTGGGGCCACCGGGGGGACCCTGGGGACCCTCGGGGCACCCTTGGGGACAGTTGTGACACTCCGGGGACAGTTGTGACACCCCGGGGACATCCGGGGGGGACCCTCGGGACCATCTGGGCACACCGGGGACAGCTGGGGACAGCGGGACAGGTGGCACTGGTGGCGCGGGTGACACCGGTGGCGCGGGTGGCACTCGGACAGGTGGCACTGGTGACACCGGTGGCACTCGGACAGGTGGCACTGGTGGCACTGGTGGCACTGGGGGGGAGGGGAACAGGTGGTGAGGGGGAGGGGAGGGGGGGAGGGGAGGGGACAGCGGGGCTGGGCTGGGCTGGTTATACTGGGTTGTACTGGGTTTACTGGGTTGTACTGGTTTATACTGGGTTATACTGGTTTGTACTGGGTTGTATTGGTTTATACTGTCCATACTGTTTATACTGGGTTACACCGGTCCATACTGGTCCGTACTGGATTACACTGGTCCATACTGGTTTATACTGGTCCATACTGGTTTATACTGGTCCATACTGGTCCATACTGGTTTATACTGTCTGTACTGGTCCATACTGGTCCATACCAGTCCATACTGGTCCATACTGGATTATACTGGTCCATACTGGTCCATACTGGTCTGTACTGGTTTATACCAGTCCATACTGGTTTGTACTGGTCCATACTGGTCCATACCGGTCCATACTGGATTACACTGGTTTATACTGGTCCATACTGGTCCATACTGGTCCATACTGGTTTATACTGGTGCAGGTCATGGACGCCCCCTCAGATGAAGGTGACGATGACGATGATGAGCAGCCGCTGCCGCAGGAGCGCCCCCTGCAGGTCTGTACTGGTTTGTACTGGTTTGTACTGGTCTGTACTGGTTTATACTGGTTTGTACTGGTTTGTACTGGTCCATACTGGTTTATACTGGTTTATACTGGTTTATACTGGTCAGGCCGTGGCTGTCCCCTCCGAGGCCGGTGCTGAGGATGAAGGTGACGATGACGATGATGAGCAGTCACTGGCGCGGGCTCAGGAGCGCCTCCAGCAGGTCTGTACTGGTTTGTACTGGTTTGTACTGGTCCGTACTGGTCTGTACTGGTTTGTACTGGTCCGTACTGGTCCGTACTGGTTTGTACTGGTTTGTACTGGTGGCAGATCATGGACGCCCCCTGGGAGGCCGCTGACGATGAAGGTGACGATGATGAGGATGAGGAGTCGGTGGCGCGGGCCCAGGAGCGGCTCCTGCAGGTCTGTACTGGTTTATACTGGTCTGTACTGGTTTTTACTGGTTTGTACTGGTCTGTACTGGTCTGTACTGGTTTTTACTGGTTTGTACTGGTTTATACTGGTCTGTACTGGTTTGTACTGGTCTGTACTGGTCTGTACTGGTCTGTACTGGTTTGTACTGGTCCGTACTGGTCCATACTGGTTATTCTGGTTTATTCTGGTCTGTACTGGTTTATACTGGTCCATAATGATCCATACTGGTCTGTGCTGGTTTATACCGGTCTGTACTGGTTATACTGGTCCTTACTGGTTTATACTGGCCCATACTAGTCCATACCGGTCTGTACTGGTCCATACTGGTCCGTACTGGTCTGTTCCGGTCCATACTGGTCCATACTGGTCCATACTGGTTTATACTGGTTTATACTGGTCCATACTGGTCCATATTGGTTTATTCTGGTCCATACTGGTTTATACTGGTTTATACTAGTCCATACTGGTCCATACTGGTCCATACTGGTCCATACTGGTCCATACCGGTCCATACCGGTCCATACTGGTCCATACTGGTCCATACTGGTCCATACCGGTCCATACTGGTCCATACTGGTCCATACTGGTCCATACTGGTCCATACTGGTCCGTACCGGTCCATACTGGTCCATACTGGTCCATACTGGTCCATACTGGTCCATACTGGTCCATACTGTTCCATACTGGTCCATACCGGTTTATACTGCTCCATACCGGTCCATACTGGTTTATACTGGTCCATACTGGTCCATACTGGTCCATACCGGTCCATACTGGTCCATACTGGTCCATACTGGTCCATACTGGTTCCATACTGGTCCATACCAGTCCATACTGGCCCATACTGGTTTATACTGGTTTATACTGGTCCATACTGGTTTATACTGGTTTATACTGGTTTATACTGGTTTATACTGGTTTATACCGGTTTATACCGGTTTATACTGGTCCATACTGGTCCATACCGGTCCATACCGGTCCATACTGGTCCATACTGGTCTGTACTGGTCCATACAGGTCTATACTGGTTTATACTGGTTTATACTGGCCCATACCAGTCCATACCGGTCCATACTGGTCCATACCGGTCCATACTGGTCCATACTGGTTTATACCGGTCCGTACTGGTTTATACCGGTTTATACTGGTCCATACTGGTCCATATTGGTCCATACTGGTTTATACCAGTCCATACTGGTCCATACTGGTCCATATTGGTCCGTACTGGTTTATACTGGTTCATACCGGTTTATACTGGTTTATACTGGTTTATACCGGTCTGTACCGGTCCGTACCGGTTTATACTGGTTTATACCGGTCCATACTGGTCCGTACTGGTCCATACTGGTTTATACTGGTCTATACTGGTTCATACCGGTTTATACTGGTTTTTACTGGTTTATACTGGTCTATACTGGTGCAGGCGCTGATGTCCCGCGCCGGGCGGGCGCTGCCGCTCCGGGATCTGGGTCAGGACTGGCAGCTGCTGCGGGAGCTCGGCAGCGGCTCCTACGGACGCGTCGTGATGGCCCGGCCCCGGCGCGGAGGTGAGTGTACCTGGGCACCTGGGCACACCTGGGCACACCTGGGGGCACCTGGGCACAGCTGGGGATACACCTGGGAGCATCTGGGGCACCTGGGCACAGCTGGGCACACCTGGGGATACACCTGGGGGCACCCTGGGGCACCTGAAATACACCTGGGGGCACTTGGGGATATCCACAGACACACCTGGGCACACTTGGGGCACCTGGGGCACCTGGGGCACCTGAAATATACCTGGGCACACCTGGGCACCTGGGGATACACCTGGGGCACCTGGGGATACACCTGGGGATATCCACAGACACACCTGGGGCACCTGACATATACCTGGGAACACCTGGGCACACATGGGAATACACCTGGGGGCACCTAAAATAAACCTGGGGGCACCTGGGCACACCTGAGACACAGCTGGGCACACCTGGGGCACCTGGGGCACCTGGGCACACCTGGGGGCACCTGGGGGCACCTGGGGGTACCTGAAATATACCTGGGGACACAGCTGGGCACACATGGGAATACACCTGGGGGCACAGCTTGGGATACACCTGGGACACCTGGGCACACCTGGGGCACCTGGGGATATCCACAGACACACCTGGGGCACCTGGGGCACCTGGGGGTACCGGGGGGCACCTGGAAATACACCTGGGCACACCGGGGGTCACCTGGGCACACCTGGGCACACCTGGGGCACCTGGGGGTACACCTGGGCACAGCTGGGCACAGCTGGGGGCACCTGGGGCACCTGGGGGTACACCTGGGCACACCTGGGGATACCTGGGCACAGCTGGGGGTACACCTGGGGATACACCTGGGCACACCTGGGGCACCTGGGAATACACCTGGGGATACACCTGGGGATACACCTGGGGGCACCTGGGGGCACCTGGGGCACCTAGGGGTACCTAGGGATACACCTGGGGGCACCTGGGCACACCTGGGGCACCTGGGGGCACCTGGGCAAACCTGGGAACAGCTGGGGGTACAGCTGGGCACACCTGGGGGTACCTGGGGGCACCTGGGGGTACCTGGGGGTACCTGGGTGCACCTGGGGGCACCTGGGGGTACACCTGGGGATACACCTATGGGTAACTGGGCACACCTGGGCACACCTGGGCACAGCTGGGGGTACCTGGGGGCACCTGGAAATACACCTGGCACACCTGGGAACACCTGGGGGTACCTGGAGCACACCTGGGCACAGCTGGGGATACACCTGGGGGTACCTGGGGGCACCTGGGTGCACTTGGGGGCACCTGGGGATATACCTGGGCACACCTGGGGCACCTGAAATATACCTGGGGACACCTGGGCACACCTGGGGACACCTGGGGGTACACCTGGGGATACACCTGGGGGCACCTGGGAACACCTGGGGATACACCTGGGGATACACCTGGGGATACACCTGAGGCAGCTGGGGCACCTGAAATATACCTGGGGACACCTGGGCACACCTGGGCACAGCTGGGGGCACCTGGGGATACACCTGGGGCACCTGGGCACACCTGGGGATACACCTGGGCACACCTGGGCACACCTGGGCACACCTTGGCACACCTGGGCATCTGGGCACACCTGGGGCACCTGGGGATACACCTGGGGATACACCTGGGGGCACCTGGGGATACACCTGGGCACACCTGGGCACACCTGGGCACACCTGGGCACATCTGGGGCACCTGGGAGCACCTGGGGGTACCTGTGAGGGCACCTGGGGGTACACCTGGGAACAGCTGGGGGTACCTGGGGATATCCACAGACACACCTGGGCACACCTGGGCACACCTGGGGATACACCTGGGGGCACCTGGGGGCACCTGGGGCACCTGGGGATATCCACAGACACACCTGGGGCACCTGGGCACAGCTGGGCACACCTGGGGCACCTGGGGGCATCTGGGCACACCTGGGGCACCTGGGCACACCTGGGGGTACCTGAAATATACATGGGGACACCTGGGCACACCTGGGGCACCTGGGGATATACAAGGGGCACGTGGGCACACCTGGGGGCACCTGGGCACACCTGGGGTTACCTGGGGACACCTGGGGATACACCTGGGGGGACACCTGGGGGCACCTGGGCACACCTGGGGATACACCTGGGCACACCTGGGGGCACCTGGGCACACCTGGGCACACCTGGGGGCATCTGGGGATACACCTGGGCACACCTGGGAACACCTGGGGGTACACCTGGGCACACCTGGGGATACACCTGGGCACAGCTTGGGGCACCTGGGGATACACCTGGGGGTACCTGGGGCACCTGGGAACACCTTGGGGCACCTGGGCACACCTGGCCACAGCTGGGGATACACCTGGGGGCACCTGGGGGCACCTGGGCACAGCTGGGGATACACCTGGGGCACCTGGGGATACACCTGGGGGTACCTGGGCACACCTGGGGATACACCTGGGGAACCTGGGGATACACCTGGGGGTACCTGGGGGCACCTGGGGGCACTTGGGGCATCTGGGGGCACCTGGGGGCACCTGGGAGTCACCTGGGAATACACCTGGGGGCACCTGGGGATACACCTGGGGGCACCTGGGGATACACCTGGGGGCACCTGGGCACACCTGGGCACAACTGGGGATACACCTGGGGATACACCTGGGGGCATCGGGGGCACCTGGGGGCACCTGGGTGCACTTGGGGGCATCTGGGGGTACCTGGGCACCCCTGGGAGTCACCTGGGTCATTCTCCCCTGGGTGTCATCATGCCCTGTCCCCGACCCAGTGGAGTCACCTGTACAGGTGTGTCTGTGTGTGTCACCTGTGCAGGTGTGTCTGTCCCTGTCCCAGCTGTGTCACCTGTGCAGGTGTGTCTGTCCCTGTCCCAGCTGTGTCACCTGTGCAGGTGTGTTACCTGTACAGGTGTGTTACCTGTCCCAGCTGTGTCACCTGTACAGCTGTGTCACCTGTCCCAGCTGTGTTACCTGTACAGGTGTGTCACCTGCCCCAGGTGCTTTCCCGCGGCTGACCCGCCCGTGCCTCCCCTCACCTGTGCAGGTGTGTCTGTCCCTGTCCCAGCTGTGTCACCTGTACAGGTGTGTTCCTTGTCCCAGCTGTGTCACCTGCCCCAGGTGTGTTACCTGTCCCAGCTGTGTTACCTGTACAGGTGTGTTACCTGCCCCAGCTGTGTCACCTGTCCCAGCTGTGTTACCTGTACAGGTGTGTTACCTGTCCCTGTCCCAGCTGTGTTACCTGCCCCAGCTGTGTCACCTGTACAGGTGTGTCTGTCCCTGCCCCAGCTGTGTCACCTGTACAGGTGTGTTACCTGCCCCAGATGTGTTACCTGTACAGCTGTGTTACCTGTCCCAGCTGTGTTACTTGAACAGGTGTGTTACCTGTACAGGTGTGTCACCTGTCCCAGGTGTGTTACCTGTCCCAGCTGTGTTACCTGCCCCAGCTGTATTACCTGTCCCTGCCCCAGCTGTGTTACCTGTCCCAGCTGTGTCACCTGTACAGGTGTGTTACCTGCCCCAGCTGTGCCACCTGTACAGGTGTGTTACCTGTACAGGTGTGTTACCTGTCCCAGCTGTGTCACCTGTACAGGTGTGTTACCTGTACAGGTGTGTCACCTGTCCCAGCTGTGTCACCTGTACAGGTGTGTTACCTGCCCCAGGTGCGTTCCCACCGCTGACCCTGCCGTGCCTCCCCTCACCTGTGCAGGTGTGTCTGTGTGTGTCACCTGTACAGGTGTGTTCCCCGCGGCTGACCCTGCCGTGCCCTCACCTGTGCAGGTGCGCGGGTGGCGCTGAAGCTGCTGTCCAAGGAGCGCACGCCCAGGTGGGGCTTCCTGCGGGAGTTCTGCACTCACCTGTGCCTGCGGGGGGCGCTCACCTGTCTGCAGGTGCTGCCGCTCGCCTTCGAGACCCCCACCGAGTTCGGCTTCGCCCAGGAGCTCGCACCTGCCGGGGACCTGTGCGGGCTGCTGACACCTGGGGTAGGTGGGACAGGTGGGCAGGGGGGACATGTGGGACAGGTGGGACAGGTGAGGGACAGGTGGGACAGGTGGGACAGGTGCGAGGTGGGACAGGTGGGACAGGTGGGTCATGGACAGGTGGGACAGGTGAGGGAGAGGTGGGACAGTTGGGGCAGGTGGGACAGGTGAGGGACAGTGGGACAGGTGAGACAGGTGGGACAGGTGGGACAGGTGAGGGGCAGGTGGGACAGATGAGACAGGTGGGACAGGTGAGACAGGTGGGACAGGTGGGACAGGTGTGGGACAGGTGGGACAGGTGGGACAGGTGAGACAGGTGAGACAGGTGGGACAGGTGAGGGACAGGTCGGACAGGTGGGACAGGTGGGAAATGGACAGGTGGGACAGGAGGGACAGGTGGGACAGGTGAGGGACAGGTTTGGGACAGATGTGCACCTTTGGGGAAGGACAGGTGTGCACAGGTGACCTCTCAGGTGACACAGCACTGGCTGGGTGACAGTGCTGAGTGTTCCCAGGTGATCCCAGGTGACCCCAGGTGTGTCACCCCTCCCCAGGTGTGCCCCCAGGTGTGTTACCTGTCCCCAGCTGTGCCCCCAGCTGTGTCCCCATCCCCAGGTGTGACCCCAGGTGTATTACCTGTCTCCAGGTGTGTCCCCAGCCGTGACCCCAGCCGTGTCCCCATCCCCAGGTGTGTTACCTGTCCCCAGGTGTGTCACCTGTCCCCAGCCGTGACCCCAGCCATGTCCCCATCCCCAGGTGTGTTACCTGTCCCCAGCTGTGACCCCAGGTGTGCCCCCAGGTGTGTCACCCCTCCCCAGGTGTGACCCCAGCCGTGCCCCTATCCCCAGGTGTGACCCCAGCTGTGTTACCTGTCCCCAGGTGTGCCCCCAGGTGTGTTACCTGTCCCCAGGTGTGTTACCTGTCCCCAGGTGTGTCACCCCTCCCCAGGTGGGCCCCCAGCCGTGTCCCCATCCCCAGGTGTGCCCCCAGGTGTGTTACCTGTCCCCAGCTGTGACTCCAGCCGTGTCCCCACCCCCAGGTGTGCCCCCAGGTGTGTTACCTGTCTCCAGGTGTGCCCCCAGGTGTGTTACCTGTCCCCAGCTGTGACGTCAGCCGTGTCCCCATCCCCATCTGTGACCCCAGCTGTGTTACCTGTCTCCAGGTGTGCCCCCAGGTGTGTTACCTGTCCCCAGCCGTGTCCCAGCCGTGACCCCATCCCCAGGTGTGTTACCTGTCCCCAGGTGTGCCCCCAGGTGTGTCGCCTGTCCCCAGCTGTGCCCCCAGGTGTGTCCCAGGTGTGCCCCCAGGTGTGTTCCTGTCCCCAGGTGTGACCCCAGGTGTGACCCCAGCCATGTCCCCATCCCCAGGTGTGTTACCTGTCCCCAGGTGTGTCCTAAGGTGTGTTACGTGTCCCCAGCTGTGCCCCCAGGTGTGTTACCTGTCCCCAGGTGTGCCCCCAGGTGTGTTACCTGACCCCAGCTGTGACCCCAGGTGTGTTACCTGTCCCCATCCGTGTCCCAGCCATGACCCCAGCCATGTCCCCATCTCCAGGTGTGCCCCCAAGTGTGTTACCTGTCTCCAGGTGTGTCCCCAGCCGTGACCCCAGCCGTGTCCCCACCCCCAGGTGTGTCACCTGTCCCCAGGTGTGCCCCCAGGTGTGACCCCCGCCATGTCCCCGTCCCCAGGTGGGCCTGCCGGAGCCGCAGGTGAAGCGCTGCGCCGCGCAGGTATCCTCCGCCCTGTCTTACCTGCACGGCCACGCGCTGGTTCACCGCGACCTGAAGCTGGACAACGTCCTGGCCTTCGACCGCCGCTGTCACCTGGTCAAGGTGTGCGACTTCGGCCTGACGCGCGTTCTGGGCTGGCAGGTGCGGCCGGAGCGCGGCCCCGCCCCGTACTGCGCGCCGGAGCTGCTGCAGGTGCGCGCAGGTGAGGCGCAGGTGAGGCGCCTGGAGCCCGCGGCGGACACCTGGGCGTTCGGCGTGCTGCTCTTCGCGCTGCTCACCGGCGCCTTCCCCTGGGCCTCACCTGCGCGCTCCGACCCCGCCTTCCGCCGCTTCCGCGCCTGGCACGGCCGCACCTGCGCAGGTGAGGCCCCGCCCCGCCCGCCGCGCACCTGGCGGGGGTTGGGGCAGGCGGGGCTGGAGATGCTGCGGGGGCTGCTGCACCCCCGGCCCGCGCGCAGGTGTCCGCCCGGAGAGGTGCTCAGGTACCTGGGCGGGGCCTGGGCAGGTGAGCGGGGGCGGGTGGGAGATGCAGGTGAGGGGGGACGGGTGGGAGATGCAGGTGAGGGGGGGCAGGTGGGAGATGCAGGTGAGGGGGGACAGGTGGGAGATGCAGGTGAGCGGGGGCAGGGGAGCTCTGCAGGTGAGGGGGGACAGGTGAGTTCTGAAGGTGAACAGGGACAGGTGAGCTCTGAAGAGGAGGAGGAACAGGTGAGCTCTGCAGGTGGGAGCAGCCAGGTGAGCTCTGAAGGTGAACAGGGACAGGTGACCTTTGCAGGTGAGGAAGAACAGGTGAGTTCTGAAGAGGAGGAAGGACAGGTGAGCTCTGCAGGGGAAGAGGGCCAGGTGAGCTCTGAAGAGGAGGAAGGACAGGGGAGCTCTGCAGGTGAGGGGGGACAGGTGGGAGCTGCAGGGGAGAGTGGCCAGGTGAGCTCTGCAGGGGAGGAGGGACAGGTGAGCTCTGAAGAGGAAGGACAGGTGAGCTCTGCAGGTGAGGGCGAACAGGTGAGTTTTGCAGGTGAGGAAGAACAGGTGAATTCTGAAGGGGAGGAAGGACAGGTGAGATCTGCAGGTGAGAGTGACCAGGTGAGCTCTGAAGAGGAGGAAGGACAGGTGAGATCTGAAGAAGAGGAGGGACAGGTGCGAGCCGCAGGTGAGCGGGGACAGGTGAGCTCTGCAGGTGAGGGGGGACAGGTGAGCTCTGCAGGTGAGACTGACCAGGTGAGCTCTGCAGGTGAACAGGGACAGGTGAGCTCTGAAGAGGAGGAAGGACAGGTGAGTTCTGCAGGTGAGAGTGACCAGGTGAGCTCTGAAGGGGAGAACAGCCAGGTGAGCTCTGCAGGTGAGCAGGGACAGGCGAGCTCTGAAGAGGAGCAGGGACAGGTGAGCTCTGCAGGTGAGAGTGACCAGGTGAGCTCTGAAGGGGAGGAGGGACAGGTGAGCTCTGAAGAGGAGGAAGGACAGGTGAGATCTGAAGAAGAGGAGGGACAGGTGCGAGCCGCAGGTGAGCGGGGACAGGTGAGCTCTGCAGGTGAGGGGGGACAGGTGAGCTCTGCAGGTGAGACTGACCAGGTGAGCTCTGCAGGTGAACAGGGACAGGTGAGCTCTGAAGAGGAGGAAGGACAGGTGAGTTCTGCAGGTGAGAGTGACCAGGTGAGCTCTGAAGGGGAGAACAGCCAGGTGAGCTCTGCAGGTGAGCAGGGACAGGCGAGCTCTGAAGAGGAGCAGGGACAGGTGAGCTCTGCAGGTGAGAGTGACCAGGTGAGCTCTGAAGGGGAGGAGGGACAGGTGAGCTCTGAAGAGGAGGAAGAACAGGTCAGCTCTGCAGGTGAGGGGAGACAGGTGAGCTTTGCAGGTGAGGAACAACAGGTGAGCTCTGAAGAGGAAGGACAGGTGAGATCTGCAGGTGGGAGCGGCCAGGTAGGCTCTGCAGGTGAGCGGGGACAGGTGGGAGCCACAGGTGAGGGTGGACAGGTGAGCTCTGCTGGTGAGAGCGACCAGGTGAGCTCTGCAGGGGAGGAAGAACAGGTGAGCTCTGAAGAGGAGGAGAGACAGGTGAGCTCTGCAGGGGAGAACAGCCAGGTGAGCTCTGCAGGTGAGGGGGGGCAGGTGAGATCTGCAGGTGAGCAGGGACAGGTGAGCTCTGAAGAGGAGGAGGGACAGGTGAGCTCTGAAGAGGAGGAGGGACAGGTGAATTCTGAAGGGGAGGAAGAACAGGTGAGCTCTGCAGGTGAGAGTGACCAGGTGAGCTCTGAAGGTGAGGGCGAACAGGTGAGCTTTGCACGTGAGGAAGAACAGGTGAGTTCTGAAGAGGAAGGACAGGTCAGATCTGCAGGTGAGAGTGACCAGGTGAGCTCTGCAGGTGAGACGGGACAGGTCAGCCCCAGAGGTGAGAATGAGAGTGGCCAGGTGAGCCCCACAGGTGGGAGTGGCCAGGTGAGCCCCACAGGTGAGGGTGGGAGTGGCCAGGTGAGCCCCACAGGTGAGGGTGGCCAGGTGAGCCCCACAGGTGAGGGTGGCCAGGTGAGCTCCACAGGTGAGGGTGGGAGTGGCCAGGTGAGCCCCACAGGTGACTCCAGGTCCCCCAGTTGTCGGGTGGGGACACCTGGACAGGTGAGAGGAACACCCGGAAGTTGGATAGAAACACCTGGAGATGGGATAGAGACACCTGGACAGGTGAGGGGAACACCTGGAGATGGGCTGGAAACACCTGGAGATGGGATAGAGACACCTGGACAGGTGAGGGGAACACCTGGAGATGGGCTGGAAACACCTGGAGTGAGATGGAAACACCTGGAGATGGGATAAGAGACACCTGGAGATGGGCTAGAGACACCTGGACAGGTGATGGACACACCTGGAGATGGGATAGAAACACCTGGACAGTGATGGAAACACCTGGAGATGGGATAGAGACACCTGGGCAGGTGATGGACACACCTGGAGATGGGCCTAGGACACCTGGACAGGTGAGGGGAACACCTGGAGATGGGATAGAAGCACCTGGACAGGTGAGGGGAACACCTGGAGATGGGCTGGAAACATCTGGAGATGAGATAGAAGCACCTGGACAGGTGATGGACATACCTGGGATGGGCCCAGGACATCTGAACAGTGATGGACACACCTGGACAGTGATGGACACACCTGGGCAGGTGATGGATGGACCCACCTGGACAGGTGATGGATGGACCCACCTGGACAGGGATGGACACACCTGGACAGGTGATGGACACACCTGGGATGGGCCCAGGACACCTGGACAGTGATGGACACACCTGGGCAGGGATGGATGGACACACCTGGACAGTGATGGACACACCTGGACAGGGATGGATGGACACACCTGGACAGGGATGGGCACACCTGGACAGGTGATGGACACACCTGGACAGGTGATGGATGGACACACCTGGACAGGTGATGGATGGACCCACCTGGACAGGTGATGGATGGACACACCTGGGCAGGGATGGACACACCTGGACAGGTGATGGACACACCTGGACAGGGATGGACACACCTGGACAGGGATGGACACACCTGGACAGGGATGGATGGACACACCTGGACAGGGATGGATGGACACACCTGGACAGGTGATGGACACACCTGGACAGGGATGGATGGACACACCTGGGGTTACCTGTGCTCACCTGGGGATCCCAAATTTAATAAAATTCGCGGGATTTTGCCTTTTTTGGGTGTTTTTCTTCCTTTTTTTCTTGTTTTTTTACCTGTTTGGGGCTGGGGGGTGGGGGAGGGGCAGGAAAAATGGGGGGAATGGGAAAAAATGGGGAAATTGGGGGAAAATCAGGGAAAATTCAGAAAAATGGGGGGAAATGGGAGAAAGGTGGAAAATGGGGGGAAAAGGGAAAAGTGGAAAAAATGGGGAAAGAAAGAAAAAAGAGGGAAATCCCAAATCCCAATCCCAAATTCCAAATCCCAATCCCAAATCCCAATCCCAATTCCCAAATCCCGATCCCAAATCCCAATCCCCAATCCCAAATCCCAAATCCCAAATCCCAATTCCCAATTCCCAATTCCCAATTCCCAAATCCCCAATCCCAATCCCAATCTCAATCCCCAATCCCAAATCCCAAATCCCAAATCCCAATTCCTAATTCCCAAATCTCAAATCCCAAATCCCTGAATTCCAAATCCTCCAATCCCCAAATTCCCAGTGTCGAATCCCAAATCCTGATCCCAAATCCCAAATCCCAATCCCAAATTCCAAATCCCAAATTCCAAATTCCAAATTCCAAATCCCGATCCCAAATCCCAAATCCCCAATCCCAAATCCCAGTCCCAATCCAAATTCCAATCCCAAATCCCCAAACCCAAATCTCCAAATCTCAAATCCCAAATCACTGAATTGCAAATCCTCCAATCCCAAAATTCCCAATCTTGAATCCCAAATCCCCAATCCCAATCCCAATCTCAATCCCCAATCCCAAATCCCAATTCCCAATTCCCAAATCCGAAATCCCGATCCCAAATCTCAAATCCCAAATCCCTGAATTCCAAATCCTCCAATCCCCAAATTCCCAGTCTCGAATTCCAAATCCCAAATCCCAACCCAATCCTAAATCCCTGAATCCCAAATCCCAACCCAATCCTAAATCCCCGAATCCCAAATCCCCGATCCCAAATTCCCAATCTCGAATCCCAAATCCCAAATCCTCGAATCCCAAATCCCCAATCCCAATCCCCGATCCCAAATCCCAATTCCCAATTCCCAATTCCCAATTCCCAATTCCCAATCTCGATCCCAAATCCCAAATCCCAAATCCCAAATCCCAAATCCCAAATCCCAAATCCCAACCCAATCCCAAATCCCAAATCCCAAATCCCAAATCCCCAATTCCAAATTCCAAATCCTGATCCCAAATCCCAAATCCCAAATCCCAAATCCCAAATCTCCAATCCCAACCCCAATCCCAAATACAAATACTAATCCCAAATCTCAATTCCCAATCCAAATCCCAAATCCCAATCCCCAAATCCCAAATCCCAAATCCAAAATCCCAATCCCAATCCTGATCCAAATTCCCAATATCGAATACCAAATCCCAAATCCCAACCCAATCCCAAATCCCAATTCCCAATTCCCAAATCCCAAATCCCAAATCCCAAATCCCAATTTCCAAATCCCGATCCCAAATTCCAAATTCCAAATCCTGATCCCAAATCCCAAATCCCAAATCCCAAATCCAAATTCCCAATTCCCAAATCTCCAATACCAAATCCCAAATCTCAAATCTCCGATCCCAAATCCCAATTCCCAATTCCCAAATCCCGATCCCAAATCCCAATCTCAAATCCCCGATCCCCAATCTGCAATCCCAATTCCCAAATCCCAAATCCCCAAATTCCAAATTTCCCAATCCCCAATATCTCCAATCCCGATCCTGATCCGGTCCCGTCCCTTTTCCCGGTGCCCTTTGGAATTCCGGCGCTTCCGGGTCCGAAGGTTCCGGGCGGTTCCCGCCGGGAGCGGCTCCGGAGCAGGTGGGGTCGGGATCCCGGGGGGATTTGGGATCCTGAGTGGATTTTTGGGATCCCGAGTGGATTTTTGGGATCCTGAATGGATTTTTGGGATCCCGGGGGGGTTTGGGATCACAGAGGGGTTGTGGGAATATTTATCTGAATCCCAAATGGATTTTTGGGAACGCTTCCCTGGATCCCGCTGGATTTGGGGGTTCTGGTGGATTTTTGGGATCCCGAGTGGATTTTTGGGATCACAGAGGGGTTTTGGGAATATTTCTGTGACTCCCAAATGGATTTTTGGGAATGTTTCCCTGGATCCCGCTGGATTTTGGGGTTCTGGTGGATTTTTGGGAACGTTTCCCTGGATCCCGCTGGATTTTGGGGTTCTGGTGGATTTTTGGGAACGTTTCCCTGGATCCCGCTGGATTTTCGGGAATGTTTCCTTTCCCCCTTTTCCCTTTGCCCCTTTTCCCTCTCCCACCCCATTCCTGTTTCCCCCAACCCCAATCCCAGACCCTGAGCCCCGGGATTTCCCCCCCGGAACGGGATCGGGATCGGGATTGGGATCGGGTTTGGAATTGGGATTAGGATACGGATTGGGATTGAGATTGGGATCGGGATTGGGATCGGGATCGAGATTGGGATCGGGATTGGGATCGGGATTGGGATCGGGATCGAGATTGGGATCGGGATCGGGATCGGGATCAGGATCGGGATCAGGGTTGGGATCGGGATTGGGATTGAGATTGGGATCGGGATAGGGATTGGAATTGGGATTGGGATTGGGATTGGGTCCAGGATCCGGATCACGATCAAGATTGGGATCGGGATCGGGATTGAGATCAGGATTGGGACTGGGATCAGAATCGGGATTGGGATCAGGATTTGGATTTGGATCAGAATCGGGATCGGGATCGGGATCGGGACTGGGATCAGAATTGGGATTGGGGTTGGGATTGGGATTGGGATTGGGATCAGGATTTGGATCAGGATCAGGATCGGGATCAGGATCGGGATCGGGATCAGGATCTGGATCAGGGTTGGGATCCGGATTGGAATCGGGATCAGGGTCAGGATCGGGATCTGGATCAGGATCAGGATCGGGATTGGGATCAGGATCGGGATCAGGATTGGGATTGGGATTGAGATCAGGATCGGGATCAGGATCGGGATCGGGATCAGGATTGGGATCCGGGTTGGAATCTGGATCAGGTTCTGGATTGGGATCCGGATCACGATTTGGATCAGGACTGGGATCAGGATCGGGACCAGGATCAGGATCCGGATCAGGATTTGAATCAGGATCGGGATTGGGATCGGGATTGGGATCGGGACTGGGATCAGAATTGGGATTGGGATTGGGATTGGGATCAGGATTTGGATCAGGGTCGGGATCAGGATTTAGATCAGGATCAGGATTGGAATTGGGATCAGGATCGGGATCAGGGTTGGGATCCGGATTGGAATCTGGATCAGGTTCTGGATTGGGATCCGGATCACGACTGGGATCAGGATCAGGATCAGGATCGGGATCAAGATTGGGATCGGGATTGAGATTGGGATTGGGACTGGGATTGGGATCAGGATCAGGATCAGGATTGGGATCAGGATCAGGGTTGGGATCGGGATTGGGATTGGGATCAGGGTTGGGATCCGGGTTGGAATCGGGATCAGGTTCTAGATTGGGATCCGGATCAGGACTGGGATCAGGATCGGGATCGGGATTGAGATTGGGATTGGGACTGGGATTGGGATCAGGATCACGATTGGGATCAGGATTTGGATCAGGATCGGGATCAGGATTTGGATCAGGATCGGGATCAGGATCAGTATCGGGATCGGGACTGGGATCAGAATTGGGATTGGGATTGGAATTGGGATCAGGTTCTGGATTGGGATCTGGATCACGATTTGGATCAGGATCGGGATCAAGATTTAGATTGGGATCAGGATCAGGATCGGGATCGGGATCAGGATCAGGATCAGGATCGGGATCAGGATCAGGATTGGGATCAGGATCAGGATTGGGATCGGGATCGGGATTGGGATCAGGGTTGGGATCGGTATTGGAATTGGGATCAGGTTCTGGATTGGGATCCGGATCATGACTGGGATCAGGATCGGGTTTACGATCAGGATCGGGATCAGGATCGGGATCCGGGTTGGAATTGGGATCAGGTTCTGGATTGGGATCCGGATCACGATTAGGATCAGGATTGGGATTAGGAATGGGATTGAGATTGAGATTGGGACTGGGATTGGGATCAGGATCGGGACTGGGATCAGGATTGGGATCAGGATCGGGATCGGGATCTGGATTGGGATCGGGATCTGGATTGGAATTGGGATCAGATTCTGGATTGGGATCCGAATCACGATTGGGATCAGGACTGGGATCAGGATTGGGATTGGGATCTGGATCGGGATTGAGATTGGGATCAGGATCAGGATCAGGATCAGGATCAGGATCAGGATTGGGATCAGGATCAGGATCAGGATCAGGATCAGGATTGGGATCAGGATCAGGATCAGGATCAGGATTGGGATCAGGATCAGGATCAGGATCAGGATCAGGATCGGAATCAGGATCAGGATCAGGATTGGGATCAGGATCGGGATCAGGATCAGGATCGGGATCAGGAATGGGATCGGGATCAGGATCGGGACTGGGATCAGAATTGGGATTGGGATTGGGATCAGGATTTGGATCAGGATGGGGATCTGGATCGGTATTGAGATTGAGATTGGGATTGGGATTGGGCTCAGGATCAGGATCAGGATCAGGATCAGGATCGGGATCGGGATCAGGATCAGGATCGGGATCAGGGTTTGGATCTGGGTTGGAATTGGAATCAGGTTCTGGATTGGGATCCAGATTACG